TACTTTTTCAAAAATTTCGAATTTTTCAATTGCAGTGAATACCTTCTCGATGTTCATGTTACCCTGATACTTTTTCAAAAATTTCGAATTTTTCACTTTCACTGGATATCTTTTCGACTTTCAAGTATTCACTTTTTAAACAATATTTCGATTTATTAACCATTTACAAAAGAAAAAATTGGAATTATTTTGAAAAAAAAAATGAATGATGGCGGGATCGAACCCAAGGTATCCGCGTGCTATTCAAGCACGTTGACGATTAACCAACGCGTTCATTATAAAAAAATAATTTCATTAGGAGTATATCTTCAATATATTAAATAATTTTTTCCATTCGAAATTCCACAAAATGGGGTTTCCCCCTTCCGCTCATTCTACAGTCGGCTAAATTTCAGTTAAACAAATAAAAAACAAAAAGCATTCATATCGTAGAAAATAAAATTCACCCTGTCGACTTGATGGACACCCCAGCATTGCGTGTTGCGCCCTCCCTTTCTTGGGGTGCAGTACTACGATACCACTGGGATCAAACCCCCAGAATTGAATCTCTACTTCAGTCAATCCTTTTTGCTCCGAACTAACCCTCTACTTTAGCCTATTTTCTCTGGCCGTTGCCGTCCGGCTCTCACATCAGATGCGTGTTGTGATGTTCAATGCGTTCAAATGCACATGAACCTCCTTATTAATTAAAAGTATGGTTAAAGAATTAGTTTGGAAAAATAAAAGCAATCAAAACAAAACGTCTCGGACGAGTGAATACTGAAGAACTTAATTGTCCTCCAGCGAGTTACATTTTGAGTGCGGCATTTGTTGGTAATCAGTGTAATTTATTTACCTAAATATTAAGTCCAGTATAATTAAACGGAGAGTAATCGAATCCCTAAGTGATTTATTGTTACTGCTATTAAAGTTATCAGGAATATTTTATTGTTGATTCTAATTAGACAGCAACATTCTAACCTCAATGTTTGTATTAGCTGATTGTCACTGGCTGCATCCCCATTTTCTTGTGATTTTTCCATATTGCGAGTTATTTCTCACCGGTAGCGGAATTATTTTAATATCACCTAAAAGATTCCATTGGGTTCTAGGCAGCTTGAATACTGAATCGTTGTACGATGGAACCTGCCCAGAATGCTTCAACCTGCCCCCCTGAGGCTGCACAGGACGAAAGCCTTGAGGTTTCTACATCTAGTCACAATAAAGAGGATTCAACGAAGAAAACCCTCTGTGATCAAAAATCGCACGTCACGAAAAATCCTGGTAAAGGTGGAGGTGAGTGTGAATCAAAGAGACTGACTCCCATCCTAGGAAGTTGCAGAGAATCCCCCCAGCCAGAACAATCAGAGACTGGAGATGGTGAGAGTGCAGAGGCTCGACTGAGCCATGAGGACTCCTCCTCGAAAGACACATCGAGGGACTCCAGTGGATCCTTAAGAGATTCTACACAGGATGAGAATAAAAAAAAACGATCACAAGCTCCTGGTGGTCGAAAGAAGTCCTCAGAAACCCCAAAGGACTCTGAATCCCCAGAAATTCTTCCAACAATCTCTAATCCCTCAAAGACCTCTCCCCCATGTGAAAGTGATCCAGATTCCGCAGAAAGTTGTCGAGAAAAACCAACAACTTCCGGTAAAAATTCTGAGAAATCGAAAGAGACCCCTGTATCATCAAAACCGTCATCCCCTCATACAGATGGAGTTGTCGCCCTAGAGGAAACTTCTTCATCTTCAAAACCAGGATCCCCACTCGATGAGTCTTCCAAATCGCCTGGTTCCGAGCCGAAGCCCTCAGAAGATGACAAAATAGAATCGGTAACTCTGGATAGTGACCTTGAAAAGGACGAGGACAAGGATCGAGAACCTGAGAAAACTGAGTTCGTGCAGATATCGCAGGATAAACCAGATGATAATCCCCTGGAGGGTCCATCGGAGGCTGAGGACCCCTTCGGGGGTGACACTCTAGCTGCTGATAATGTTGATACCATGGACACTGACGACAACAATGAGAGAGACATAAATTTTTCGAAGTTGGGGGATCAGGCTGACAACCTCCAGGACGCTGTCAAGGCGACGTCATCCAAAGAAACTTCAAGCACGCCAACAGAGAGTGACAACCTCCAAGACCCTGAGTCCTCGAAAAAGTCGTCAGACGCAGAGGAGGTCGAGGAAGTATCTGAAGGCCTTTCAGAGGCGCAAAAGTCCCAGGATAAATCCGATAAATCGAGTGAAAAAGTCCCTCAGTCTGAAGTGCATGTGATTCCCCTTGAGACAGACGAGCACTCGACAGTCCTTCCAGGACAAGACGACGAGCTTTGCATCATCCCTGATGATATGAAGATAATCATCCCCGGAAAATCAGGCTCCAAGAAAGATCCCCCTAAGGCGCCAGAACCGGCAGCCCCTGAGAAACCCTCAGTTAAGGTTTCGAAACTTGCAAAAGCCCCTGAACACTCTAATAAATCGAAATCGTCAGACGCAACTTCTGCAGCGATAACAGATAAGGTGATAGACCTGGATATCGAGGTCAAGAGCTCGGAAGAAATATCGGAGATTACACTCCCCGAGAAACACGTCTGTAAACAATGTCAGGAGGAGAAGCCCTGTAAGATAAAAGTGAAAATTGGAAGTGAAGAGTTCAGGGTTTGTTCGAAAAGATGTCAAAGCTCCTTCATGGATACCCATGGAAAGGCTACAGACATTCCCTCAGAAGGGGCTAATTCAAAATACGAGAAACGCTGTGCCAGCTGTCTTTTGATAGTCGAATCCAATGACGAAAGAAATCTCTCTTGGGAAACGATGGAATTCTGTAATGAAGAATGTCTGGGAAAATTTCAGACCAAGTACGGGAGTTACTGCAGGAACTGCAATGGAAATGTACAACCAATTTCCTTGGGGAAATATTGCGTTCGTTTTGGTTTCGACGTTCGTCAGTTCTGCTGTTCCACGTGCCTGGAGGAGTTCAAAAAAGGCCTCAAGGTGTGCAGCTACTGCCAGAAGGACATCAGCTCGGGGACAGATGGTTTTCTTGCCCCAGTCGGTGATAAAGGCCAATTCAAGGACTTTTGCACTCAACAGTGCATGGAAAAATACTCGAGAATGAATTCTACGGAACCACCACCTACCGAGCGAAAGGCCTGCAGCGTCTGTCAGGAAGAGAAAATAGTCTTCTGCGAGGTTCAGATAGACAGGGGTCAGTCCCAAGCCATTTGCAGTGAGCCATGCTTTGCAGCCTTCAAGTTTGTCAACAAAGTTGATCCAGACCACTGTGCTACGTGTAAAAAGTACTTCCAAGTAGGTAACAAGAAGAGCACAGTTGTCTTCTACAACAACGAGGCACACACCTTCTGCAGTAAAAGTTGTCTCAACATTTTCATCATTACAAACAGAAAAATCGTTCCCTGTAACTGGTGCAAAGTCAAGAAGTACAACTTCGACATGATAAAAAAGGAGTTAAAGTCCGGACAAGTAGTCATGATGTGCAGTCTCAATTGTCTCACCCTCTACCAGGTATCCATTAACGCAGTGTCAGCGAGAAGAATTCGTTGTGACCTCTGCAAAGAGTTCTCTCAGGCCCAGTACCACCTCACGATGTCAGATGCAACAATTAGAAATTTCTGCTCCTATAATTGTGTCATGAAGTTCCAAGCGCAGTACACTAAGTCCCCAATAACAATTCCCTCCGGGGAGGACGCACCTGTTCCCACAGGAATGCCCAAACGCACCTATCCAGGGAAGGTTCAACCCCTCGGGGTTGTCAAGAAAGTCACAGACATGCAGAACGCCAGCCTTCAGAGTAAAAAATCGCTTCCTGTGATATCATCAGTGGCTAGTCTAGCTTCTCTACCGTCGAATGGACAGCCCGCTATCACCCAGAAAGCCACGAATAACGTTGTAAATTTGAACAGTGCAACGATAACAAATCCAACAGCTGTCCCGGGCACGCCAATTCTTTTCAAACAACAGGTAATCACCAGACCCCCAAGTCCTGTCCAGATGCACAATAAAATGACCCAGTGCAAACCCCTGATGCACACCAAAGGGGTATCAGTAAAACCCCACCCCTGCACAAAATCCACACAGACTGACGAGATCCAAAAGGTCATAATTCCCATTCCAGTACCCATTTACGTACCGTTTCCAGTCCACATGTTTTCTTTTCCATTTCCTGTGCCCATGCCCTTCCCCTTACCAATCCCAGTTCCCATATTCATTCCAACAACGCGAAACAGTGCCAAGGGTATATTCAAAGAGCTCAAAAAAATTCAGGAGAAATTGCCATCAGATCCCTTCGAGGCAGAGCTCCTCATGATGGCGGAGATGGTGGCGACTGATAAGAAGAAGACAGAGAGTGACTCTGAATCTGATGACAATGGGAATGAGAATGAGAATGTCGAGGTGAGTGAGAATGCTGTTGAGGAGAAGCAGGATCCTGTGGATGGAGGTAATGCGTTTGGTGAAGAGATGCTCCAGATGGCCTTGAAAATGGCAACAGGAGAGTTAGAGGAACCGGCTGTCGACCTCGAGGCAGCGCTGACGCCTAGCACAATTGCAGCTACACCTCAGGGACAGGGTGATGGAGAGGAGAACCAGGTGGAGAGACAGACACGTGGAAGGAAGAGAACAGTGACCCACAAGGCGAAAGGGGCTAATAAAAAGGGCAAGAGGTCTGCCAGCACTGGGGAGCCGCCTCTGATGCCTCCACCAGAGTCTCAGACACCCACGCGAACTGTCGAACCCCTTGAGAAACCTGACGCCAATATGGCACTGAAATTTACCTTTGGGGTGAATGCCTGGAGGCAGTGGGTCATCACGAAAAATGCTGAGATGGAGAAAAACGCTGGGAACAAGATTGTTAAACCCTTCAAGACCGATTTGCTTCAGCTCACTGCTGATGAGCTTAATTACTCATTGTGTCTGTTTCTGAAGGAAGTGAGGAAACCCAATGGAGCAGAGTATGCGCCTGATACTATTTATTATCTTTGTCTTGGTATTCAACAGTATCTCTTTAAGAATAATAGGATTGATAATATCTTTACGGATTCGTATTACGAGAAATTTACCGATTGTTTGAATGAAGTGGCTACCAAGTTTTCAGTTTTGTATAATGAGGCACATTATATTGTGACGAGGGTCGAAGAGGAACATCTCTGGGAGTGCAAGCAACTCGGAGCACACTCACCCCATGTCCTCTTGAGCACACTCATGTTTTTTAATACGAAACATTTTAATTTAACGGTGAGTTGGAATTTTTCGATTCAGTTTTCATTCTTTTATCAGTGGTTTAATATCAATTGTTTGAATTTAGACTGTCGAGGAACATATGCAGCTGTCATTCTCACATATAATGAAACATTGGAAGCGAAATCCAGCCGCACAAGCTGCAGCAGGTGCTGGGAAGCCTCCTGGAGCGAGGAACGTACTCCTGAGATTTTATCCACCCCAGGCTGCGCTAGGTTCGTATTCTCGATCACTCATGCTCTTTCATGAATAATTTTTTCGATGATTATTTTTCTTTGAATCTTCGCAGAAGCTAATTCGAGGAAAAAGAAAGTGTACGAGCAGCAGGAGAACGAGGAGAACCCCTTGAGATGTCCAGTAAAACTCTACGAATTTTACCTGTCGAAATGTCCAGAGAGTGTTAAGAGTCGTAACGACGTATTCTATCTTCTTCCTGAACGCAGCTGTGTCCCAGATAGTCCTGTGTGGTATTCAACATCGCCGCTGGCTAAGGATCATCTCGTGAAGATGCTTAATCGGGTCAAGATGGTTAAGGAGATCAATGTTGCTCTGTGGAGCAGTTAATCAGGATTCATCGTACTGAAGCTCTTCCTCACGCAGGGCGTTGTTTTTTTGTATGAAATTAAAAAGAGATGGAGGTCGATGCACGTCCGAAAATTAATCATAAATGAATTCAGTTGAACACATGACAAGAGTCAAAATTCATTTGCCTCATGATAATTCGATTTTTTTCAATGTATAATTATGAATATCTAGGAAATAAAATAACAAGATTTGTTTCATAATTGTGAATTAAAATCATTGTCATCAAATTGAAGTTTTGAAATTAATTGAATTTTTACTGCCCCTTTATGGTTCTTTCAATTTGATGAAATGACAGATCAATTTTTTAATTATGAAATATGAGTGGACTATTAATGAATGAATGAATAGAAAAAATATAAAAATGCGAGATAAATTTGTACACAATTTAGAGGTAATTTGAGGGTAATCCTATTATTCAAAATTGAGATGAAGATTTTTTAATTAAATTTCGCATGATAAACTCCTAACAATTCGATCGTCTCCTCACGTACATATTCTTCATCCATCAAATATTTTCTCATACCAATATTTATTGTAATAACAAACTTACTGTCGACTCACGAATTATCTCCAATTCTGAAGATAAGGGAAGCTGTCAAAACACCGAGATCGCCAAGAAATGCACACAGTAGAAAAAATATTCAGTATTTCAATTAGGTGCCTGTGAGAAACAATTATATAAATTTCCATCTCTCAAAATCAAGATGAATCCCAAAGATCACGAAAATGAAGAGACTCCTTCCACATCCACTGCTGAGAACCCAAAGAATATTCTCCAAAAAAATTGGAAATATCCGAGAAAATTCCCACACATAACAAAAAGAGTCTACGGAATATTGCTAGAACCTGAAATGTGGAGATGTCTTCGCAAAGGAAAACTAGTCAAAGATCCGATCATCGACGCATGGTTGCAACTGATGGCGGATACTGCATCGAAATCTGGACTGAACATTTTGGCATTCCAAAGCTGTCACTACGAGCTGTTGTCTCAATGCGAAGAAAAATCCATGGCCCACTGGCTGTGGAGGAATGACTGCTGGAGAAGAGATGTCTGGTTGTTTCCCCTGGTGTACGGTGGCCACTGCAATTTACTCGTAATAGTCCCGAGATCGAGGATTTTTTTATTCTTGGATGGGCCCCACAAGGCCCCACCCGAGAACCTGTTGAAGCAGATGTGCCAGCTGATGGAGTCTGTGAAAGGAGATCTGGACTGGAACCAGTGGACTTTCTACCAACCTGGGGATTATCCTGTTCAGCATCGGACCTCCAACAATTGCGTCATTCACGTCTGTGCATGGATCTATGTCATTTGCACTGGTGAACGTCTTGCGTGTCTCCATGAAGAGATGGCGAAGATGCGGAGGGTCATGGCTGCGAAATTCTACGCAGCTCCTGAAATGGAAAGGGAATCACTGGAAAAAGATTGTGAGGAATACGAACCACAGGATCGAGAGTCGTTGTCGACCTGGCAGGATGTCAACGGGGTTCAAGGAATACCTGGAACAAGTTCTAGTACTTTGGAGTTTTGTGCTTCCTTGGTTGAAGGTCCATGTGAATATTCATCTCGTTGAAGGATCGAGAACATAATTTCAGTTCAAGCTTTTTATCATTCTTTTATTTCATTATTCATTTATAAACAAGTACGCAATGAATTATTAACATATTTTTACAAATTTTCACTGGCTCTTGGTGGGACGAACGAATCCACGTTTACGTTTCATTTTTTTCCTCGAAATTTCTAGGGTATGAAGTTTGGAGTAAACTTCGGAGTAAATTGCTTGCTGGTCTTCTTCTGGGATTGTGGATCTGTAAAGTTAACAATAAAAATCAGAAAATGGATAAGAGAATTATTGAATAGCTGAGCGTTGAAAAATACCTGTAAATCTTCATGAGGTCGTATTTTTCCCAAGGTTTCTTCAGTTTTTCAGCCCTCAACCACTTCTTTGGAGTAACAACAACCGTTTCTGGCACGATTCCCTTCATCGGGTAGATCTCCCATCTCTTTAACCATGGGGCAGGTTTTAGGGGTACTTTGAGAGGATTGATTGGAACTTCACTTCCTTCAGGGAGAAGTTCCACCTCCATATCCATTGGGAATGTACTGTATTCTAGGGGAGCATCACGAAGATAGTACAATTCTTCATCCAATCTCTTTTCAAGTCTATAAAAAAAATAAAGAGATAAATTGTTAGGAATTTCAATCAATAATTTAAAAAATCGATGGATACCTTAAGCAGTCAATCTGCTGAATGGCCGGATCGTACAAGTCGAATTTAATTTCAACCCCCTGATTATCGATGACATTTCTCAACAGAAAATTAGCTCTCAAGCCAGAACCCTTCCTGTCTATGCAAATCCCCACAAATTTGTTAGATTTTCCTGGTGCATGGGGTTCTGAATACGTCACCGCGAGGACTGAACCGACGTAGAACTCTGGGATGTCGATGACAGTTCTCCTCGCCATCATGTCCATCCTCTCGAGTTTTTCCCGAAGATGATTGCGAAATCCCGGGGTGGGATCAGGAAGGAACTCGGGGTAAACGAATCTATATTGCGAGGGTACCGGTGGATCCTGACTTCGAGGATTTAAATTCTCGGGGTTTGAGGCACTTGGAGGATCTTTCGTGGAAATCTCCTGAGGGGTTTGTGCTGTTCCTGCGGAGGTCGAGAGACATCTTATGTCTTTACCTGGACAAAATTCGCATCCAATAAAATTAAATTATTAGGTAATTAAACATTTCTTAAAAAACGACCGGTTGCATATATATTCGAAGTCGTAAAAGAGGAAATAGGTTAGCTCTTCATGTTTCGTCGAATATTCAACAAAAAGCTAGTGCCATTATAATATTTACAGTCACATAAAATTGTGAAGAGATTGGTAATTAATAATTCATTAATCCAACTTACAAATCGTTTTAGACCCCAAAAAATGAGCTCGAAGATGTCGAGACAAAGCTAAACCCACAGCTGACATGTTTTATTATGAAGATACGTCAATTCTCCGAAGCTGCGGCGCTAGTGAACCACAAAAATTCCTCGCAATTTTCAAACAAGTCCTTTGATAAATTATCTCCTAATATTGATATTCAAATAATAAATTCTCCAATGATATAAATAATATTCTTAATGACCCTCTCGCATATGATTATCCATGTACCATGAATATAAATTGGCGCGATTTATGAATCACTCTTTTCTGTAAAAATGAGAGAAATTCAAGATTCATCGATCCAAGCGATCAATAATTGTGCTGCACTGATAAGCACTGGAGTATTGCAATTCGAATGATAATATTGATGAATGTTTCACGTGTTGACATTGTGTCTTTGATAAACGCCATGACAATGATCTTCAGTTGCTAGGTAACGAAATGGAAAACAGATCGACGTTTCCCCAGGTAGGAAATTCCTCTGATTTTTTTGTATTCACTACGATGACGAATTCGTTGAGTCAATCATGATTTTGAAGTACCTGGGGACCGTTTCGCCCTCCAGTGATAGTGAAAATCGTGTAGTGGCTATTGCCTGGTCTCCAAATAATCTGAAACTAGCTGTAGCCTTGTCAGACAGATCTATTTATCTATTCGATGAGAATGGAAATAGAAAGGATCGGTTTTCCACTAAACCTGTGGATTCCAAGGTGAGTTGAATTCAACTAATTATTATTCTAACATTTTCGTTATCAAACGATTCAGAGTTAATTGAAATGAATGAAATGATTTACTGAATTTATTGTTGGAATGATTTTGTGGCAGTTTGGAAAGAAAAGTTACGTTGTCAAGGCAATAGCCTTCTCCTCGGACTCAACAAAAATAGCTGTTGGCCAAAGTGACAACATCATCTACGTCTACAAAATCGGCGAAGAATGGTAAATACCTGTAAATAGGGAAGACGTAAAATCGATCAATTGATGTTCTGCCCCTTTGTAGACAAAACTACCGGTTTTTTAAATTTTCTGACAAATTTTTGATCGGATAGACAGGAAAATATTATTAGGAATTATAGTATTCCCCATATTCCCCTCCCAATGTCTTTATATTCTTTCTTCAAAAGGTGACAGAATATTCTTAACAAATGGCTTTCTCCCCAGGGGTGATAAAAAAGTCATCTGTAACAAATTCGGCCAGAGTAGTGCAGTGACTTGCATGCTATGGCCTCCAGAGGGTCCAATAATCGTGGGTCTAGCAGATGGAAAAGTGCGGGTGTCTATTTTAAAAGCGCATAAGGCCCAGACCCTCTACACAGCCGACGCGATGACAATAGCCCTCGCAGGAAACGGTAAAAACACTGGATTTCTCTCTAGCCACGCAGACGGCAGTATAATCCGCTACTTCCTGAAGAACGACGGAAACACCGAGCCTTCCGGACGAGTCGTTACCCACGGAGTCCCTGCTTACGCCCTCGCCTGGGCTCAAGGTCATATTTGCGCAGGTGGATGCGACAAGCGATTAACAATCTACGATTCCCACGGTAAAGTTGCAAAAATCTTTGATTACTCTCGCGATCCCGATGACAAGGAGATCTCAATCGCCTGCTGCAGCCCAAGTGGACAGAGCGTTGCCATCGGCTCCTGGAACAGAATTCGAACCATCGACTGGAGTCCAAGACGCTCCATCTGGGAGGAGACCAACACCCGGGAACTCCCGAACCTCTATACAGTGACTGCCCTCGCCTGGAGAAGAGATGGCTCCAGGCTCGTCATCGGAGGTCTCACTGGAGCAGTCGAACAATTTGAAACTGTACTGAAACGGGCGATGGTGCGAGGAAGCCACGAAGTCGCCTACGTCGGTCCAAGCCAAGTGGTTATCCGTTCGCTGAACAATTCTACTCGTCCCGTGATCATTAAATCGTCAACGGGGAATGAGATCGAGGATGTCAGGGTGATGGGTCGCTCTGACAACCACATAGTCGCCAGGACGAACTCGACTCTTCTCATTAGTGATATCGAGCTGAATCTTCTGAGCGAAATTCCTTGGGAGGATAAACCAGGGGGTGAAAAATTCTTCTTCGAATACCCAGGAGTTTGTCTGATATTCTACGCCGGTGAGCTTACAATCGTGGAGTACGGGAAGAACGAGATCCTGGGGGCTGTGAGAACTGAAGCTGTCAATCCCCACGTCGTGTCAGTGAGAATTAACGAGCGTCAGGTGGCAGGAATGCCGGATAACAAACGATTGGCTTATCTCCTCGATCCAAAGACAATCCGTATCATTGATTTCCTAACCGGCTCGACCATCAGCGTCATTACCCACGATGCGAGGGTCGATTGGTTGGAGCTGAGTGAAACTGGGCATCGATTGCTGTCGAGGGACAAGAAGGGAAGACTTTGGTTGTGCGACGACAAGGGAGGCAGAACACTTCTGCTAACGGGTACAGGATTCGCTTCGTGGGTACCAGGAAGTGATGTTGCTGTCGCCCAGACTGGAAATAAACTTGCAGTATGGTACAATGTTGATGCACCAGAGGCTGCAACTCTCATGTCCATCCGGGGAGATGCCATAGACATTGAGAGGGAACCAGGGAAGACAGCTGTGGTCGTCGAAGACGCAGGATCCAAAGTATTTCATCCTCTGGACGAGGGTTTGATCGAATTTGGGACAGCTCTTCATGACAACGATTTTGGCAGAGTTGTCCTCTTCCTGGAAGAACTCGGTGATCGGCCGCAGGTGGAGGCGATGTGGGAGAATGTTGCCAGAAATGCAATGGCTGAGAGGAAGTTTCTCGTTGCTGCTCGATGCTACGCAGCACTCGGTGACGTTGCTTGTTCGAGTTTTCTCAAGGACATCGTAAAAACCGGTGAAAAATACGCGAAGGAGACTGGGAATGACCCAATGGGATCACCAGACTGCTGGGCTAAGCTGGCGATTCTCAGTGGAGAACTGAAGACAGCGGAGGCCATTTACCTGGAGCAAAACGAACTCGAGAAAGCCCTGAAGATGTACCAGAAGTACTGGCACTGGGAGGACGCCCTGAGCCTCGCCGAATCCCGGGATTGGTCGGGCCTGAAAGAGCTCAAGGAGAAGCACTTGTCCTGGTTATCAAAAAGCGGTCAGTCAGCACGAGCTGCGTCAATAATCGAGAATGACGATCCGAGAAAATCTGTGAAGCTCTTCCTCGAGGCGGGACGAGCAGGTAGAGCTGGACGTCTCCTTCTCGTCCACGAAGAGCTGCTCAGCGACCAGGACATCACGAAACAAGTGGTGAAGGCTCTGAAGTCATCGGATCTCATGGAACTCGCTGGAGAGATCCTGGAGAGAACCAACGACTTTGCAGGGGCGATAAAATGCTACGGCGAAGCCGGGGTGTTCGCCAGGGCTCTCGATCTAGCCAGATCCGTCGAACCCAACTCCGTTGTCTCACTCGAGAAAGAATGGGGTCATCATCTGGCAAATGGCGGGCACTTCGATGCCGCTATCAACCACTTTATCGAGGCAGGAGAGACTGCACTAGCATTGAACGCTGCGATAAATGCAAAACAATGGCGAAAAGCCCTGCAAATTGTTCAGGTAATCGACAGCGATGATCCCCTCATTCAGGAGCAGTGTGCAAAGCTCGGAGAGTATTACGCATCGATGGGAGACGCCAATCTTGCGGAAAATCTTTTCCTTCGAGCTGGTGTACCCCAAAGAGCAGTAGAGGTTCACATTAAATCCAACAACTGGTCGAGAGCCTATGAAGTTGCAATGGAATACATGAAATCCGAAGAGGCTATTGACGTCCTCACAGGACATGCCGAGAGCCTTCAGGAGGCCGGGGACTTCAGGTACGCCGAGGCCCTCTTCGTGGCGATCGGTCAGTACGACGCGGCCATCGCCATGTACAGAAGAGCGGGACTGAGAAACGACATGATTCGACTCGTTTCTGAACATCGCCCTGATCTGCTAAAAACAACTCATGCTTATCTAGCGAGGGAATTAGATGCTGCTGGTAAGACCAGAGAAGCTGAAGAGCACTTCCTCGGGGCTGAGGACTGGAAGGGAGCGGTTAGTGCTTACAAAAACGTTAACATGTGGGAAGATGCTCTTAGGGTCGCTAAAGTGGCCGCCGGAGATAAAGCTGGGCATCAGGTGGCCCTCATGTGGGCTAGAACTCTAGCTCCCGAACTCAGTGCTCGACTTCTTATGAGACTGAGTTATTTGGATGCTTGTCTTAATATCGCCTGTGAGGCGGGGCTGTTTGATTGGGCCTTAGAGACCGTAAAGTACGGGAATACTGAGCAGCAGAAGGAAGTTTACTACAGGTATGCGATGGCACTGGAGGACGAGGGAAAGTACCAGGAAGCTGAGAAGGAGTTCATTCGGGCGGGAAAGGCAACTGAAGCTGTGCAGATGTACATTCACACGAGAGATTGGGACGCTGCGGAAGAGGTGGCACAATCCGTTGGACAGGAGGCTGTGGCGCAGGTTCTGGTGGCCAGGGCATCCGAAGCTGCTGATAATCAGGACTTTGCGTTTGCTGAGTCGTTACTTCTGAGGGCTCACAAACCGGAGATCATTGTGGAGCATTACAAGAAGGCGGGGATGTGGTCGGAAGCAATGAGGGTATGCAGAGAGTATTTGCCGCGTCAGGAAGCTTCATTGAGGCGTGAATTATCGCAGAAGAGTTCTGGAATCGAGGGGGTGAACAGCCTGGATGAGGCTCGACGATGGTTGGAGGAGGGCGAGGTCAGAACTGCTTTGGATATCCTGATCTTTGATCCACATCCTTCGAGACCGATTCTCATTCAAGCTGCTGATATTCTCCTGAATCAAGCGGAACCAGAGACTGCTCTTCAAGTTGGTGGTGATCTTGGGAATAAATTAGTTCTTCTTGGGGAGCATGCGTTGGCCGCTCAAGTCTATCTTCAAGCGGATAAACTCAAGGAGGCGATCAATGCATTGGCATCTGTTGGGGATTGGATGAGGGCGAAGAGAATCGTTCGGGAATTGGCGCCAGAGTTGGAGTCCTATCTTGAGGACAAATACAGGGAGAATGTGGGGAGGGACAGTGGGGATAGAATGACAGAGGGAAGTGTCGACTCGACTTTGGATAGTTTAGCTCGAAAGGGTCAGTGGATCCAAGTATTTGAATCTGCGAGCTCTCAGAGTCCTGAGTTGTTGCATAAGTACGTAGCGCAGAGAGCAGCGCAGTTATTGAAATCTGGAACTCCTGAACAAGCTCTGCAGCTTTACAATACTTTTGGTACACCCCCAATTGCTCAGTACCATAATCTCTATTATCATCTAGCTGAAGCTGTTTTGAATTCTCATGATGGGTCTCTGGATGCTCGGTACAGTCGATTATCTCAACTCCGGAGTTTTTTGTTGGGATTGTTGAGAAATATTGAGAGTTCTTCGTCGAATGAGGAGAAATTTGGAAGACTGCTCAAGGTTGCTCATTATTCAGCTGTTAATTCAGCTTGTCAGGGTGTCACAGCTGTTGCCCAGCTCGAAATGAAGAGTTCTGTTTCTCTTTTGAGATTCTCTGATATCCTGTTGGCTGACAGATGTTACTATGAAGCTGGGGTTGAGTGCAGGAAGGCTGGATCTCACAGCGAAGCATTTGTCTTCCTCAATCACTTCTTGGATCTCGAGGAATGCATCGAAGAGGGTGACGGGAGTATTTTAGACGTCGATGATCTGAGGATAACGGATTTTCCGCTGGAAGTTCCGTTGCCCGAGGACTTGAGTCTTTCCAGAGAGGAGAGGGAGGAGGTGCGGGAGTGGGTGCTGGCTGTGTCCATGGATCAGAAGGTGGAGCAAGGGCTTCCAGTGGACAACAGGGGAGTCTACATCGGGTCCTTGACCTGTCCCGCTAATGGATCTACACCCCTTCAAGAATGTGCCTTAACTGGGTATCCTATAAGAGGACCTACTGTCCGTTTTGATGGGAGTAGTCGAGTTGTTGATAGAGAGGACTGGAATAAATTATTAAATGCGGCTAGACAAGCACCCCAGGACTCCCCTCTCAATGATGTCCTAGCATTTATACAGGAATGGTGTGGCAATTTACCAAGTTATACTTTTTAATTAATTGTTGTATCATAGAGGAATTACCACTGGACGTCTGCGGTCAGATTTTTTATTATTTCTGACATTAGGACTCTATGAAAGTTGAAGTCATGTACTTATACTTCCGTTGACGGAACGGGATAGTAATTAATTTATGAAGTTAAGATCTAATATCACTTCCTGTAGACGTGTGCAGATGGTGAATAACGAAATAGAGAATAAAACGAGTTTAATTATTGTTTCTCCTGTTTTTATTAAAACTCTAAGAGCAAAATTCCTTAGGCGAAAAATCTCCCCTGAATCATCCACTCATATTTATATATATTCTCTTCATTCTCCCCGATTCATTTTACAATTTAATCTTGCACACTGTAAACAGAAGAGAAAAATAGACGACCAGACCAGAGTCCTCGAGTACTCACTCCAATCCAATCGTTCACTCTGAATTCAACATTAGTACGTTTCCGCCTAGTATTAAACTATGTATAATATGTATATATAACATTATGTATATTCTTACCGACTTACGTGATTTAATACATACACGTTATGAAAAATCATAAATCAGAGATGACAAATCCCCGATTGATGGATACTTTACACAATTATCACTGTCACCATGTCTGTTACATCGGTGTGATCCTGAAGACCGGTCCGATCCTGAGGAAAAATCGTCGCAAAACCGAGCGAGGCTCTGGCTTGAGGTCAAAACACATGACTTCACACAACAATGAGTAACAATTAGCCGCATGAACAGCGAATCTGTTGTCACACATTTTGAGAATCCTATTGAGCAGAAGTAGAAGAATGGGTGTCCAGGCATCCCTGTGAGCTTCATTAGGAAGTGCCAGGAAATACTCCAGAGCTTCCCTCGAAGTCTCCACGAGATGTGACTCCACAGTCGACCAATTACCCCGATGGGACTCGTCATTATACATTTTGAACAGAATCCTCAAAGCACAAGCCAGAGATTGTGTCTCCTGCTTGAGCAAATTTGGTTTGACAGTTCCCCTGAATCCTGCTTTCCACAAAATATTCCTCTGCTCATTATTAACATTAAAACTCTTGGCGAAACGATGGGACCTGAGGAGGCACTCAACAAGTTGAATCAGGTGCATCGTATTTAAGGCTGAATACATGCCCTGCTCTTCTTTGTGCTCACTACCAGAGCCATCGAGACCAGAATCACTGGATCTTCCATTGAGCATGTCAGCCTGAGCCAGAGCTAGATTCTCCTGGTCTTCTTTCCTGGACGTCGCTGGATAAAACACGATATTATCAATCGTCTGGATCAACTCCAATTGCACCACACATTTGATCAACAGAGCTGAGAAGATCCTGTTGCTTCCCACATCAGTATTATTATTCGTCAGACTCTGAGTGCTGTTACTCCTCTTCAGAATCCCCATGTGATTATCATTCTCTCCAGTAATCACCTCAAGATCTGACTCCCTGTTGATGGAAGGAGGCTTCCAGGTGAGGAGAACCCCAGGCAAAGTACTCTCAAAGATATCCAGAATGCATCTCGTTGTCTTGGTCCATGTGTCCTCATCAAACTTCACACCATTACTGATTACTAGATTCTCCAGACAATTCGTCCCTGACCTCGCCAGCTGCTCATTGTCCTGCTGCACACACCACAGTAGCTGTGAATATAATTGCCCCAGGAGTAGAGGTCCCAGAACATCATAAAATTGTGAGAAAACATCAACAATAGCATAAAGTGCATGATTACAGGTGGTTGTCATCCATTCTGCTTTCTCTGTGTGCTGTTCAGGTAGTTTCATATTATCAAAAATCCTGAAGAGCACCTGAAACAGATCTTTCCACCAGTGAGGCTTGAAGGAGTTCCCATGAGTCTTCACAACATCAAACAAAACCGTCAGAGCTCTGGTCCTGACGTCGAGCTTGCACCTGCTGACAACACAGGATAACTCAAAGAGCAGTGGAAACCATCCCCTGACCCAAGCCCTATCCTCCTCTGAGACCATTCCATTTTCATCCATCATACCCTCAGCAAACATTTGGGGATTAGCATCGATATACGAGGCACTCGTTCGAATCAGTCTTATGGCTTCCATACTTGTATCCGGAAATGATGAATTGCAAGCGAATTCACTCAGGCACTTGACAGCGTCTTGAAACGAATCCACCATTATGCTGAAATCCTCGGCGTAAAGCTCATTGATGATCTTCCCTGTCATGGAAAAAGCGAGCGCAACTACTGACTCGTCTCTGTCGCTCGCAGCATGGTGAAAAACACTGAATATATTTTTCCAGCCGGATCTGATGTTGGGAGCCTGAGAGTGAACGATCTGAGCTACACACCTCACAACCATGTCTCTGATTATTGGCGATCGGTTCTTCTTCATGATGTGCTCAAAAGGCCTGAGGAACTCCTTCTGAAACCTGAAGTTAGCAAACTCCCCTTTCTCTATAAACTTTGTCGCGAGCTGCCTGAGGGAATCCACAGCGAAGAAAGCGATGTTCTGCCTTGGGCTGCAGCCCACCCTGTCAAAATGATCCCCAACCACCTGCCATATCCTGGACCACTGGAGCCTTATTCTCCCCATGTTATAGTAAGAGATCTCCACGATTTTCGTTAGGGAGAACATTCTGGGCTGAGTTTGATGGGACAACTCCTCCAGGGAGACCTGGCAGAGAGCCTTCACGAATTCCACGATGGCATCACCATCCAGACGAGTGGAGCCGGTAAAAATCCTGTCAACTGCGACGACAACACTCTGGGAACTCGTCTCCCCAATCGACTCCTTCACGCTTGGATCCAGGGAGCTCAGGTTCAAGCTGTTGGACTGACTGGAGTTGTTGTGAGTGAGACTTGTGAAGGTGTTCAGGGGCGAGGGAAAGTAGGGCTTTGAAGGGGGCCCCAGGAGTTGTGGCCTGATCCCAGTGCCAATCAGCTGGGCGAGTTCCAGTTGTGATATACATTTGACAACGTCCAGCCACGAGCTGCCGAGGTAGTTGCCATCGGTGTGGGCGATCGTTATCAGAGTTTTTATGGTGTCGATGTTCTTGGCTTTCATCTCGGTTATCGGAGAATTGGCGGTCAACAGGGTGAATCGAGCCAGGGCCTGGACGTAGGCATCTCGTTCCAGGGACATGTGAAATATGCAGGCGATTCGAATTGCACATCTGATGCCGTCCAGACAGAGGGAGGCAATCTCTGGGTCGTCGCAGTCCTGCAGGCCTACACTGAAAGCAGCGAGGAACGGTGTCCACGCAATCTTAAACATTGGACGGACGTGCTCTAAGTGTTTTGCAGTTGTGAAAGGCGCCTGAACGTGGCTCACTGAATCCATGAGATTCTTCGCAGCCGTTGAGATCAGCTCCATTTCCATGTTCCACAGGAGACGGCGCTTTTTCTCACTCGATATTACTTGTTTCCCCGGCCTATTTGGATGTGACTTCATCTTAATCTCATTCCCAGCAATTTCGTCATAAATCTTCGAGAGATACTCCTCGGGTAAGTCTTCATTGTCACTGATCCGTCGATTCAATTTGATATATTGCTCTTTAGTCATTTTATTCTTGACCTGCGGTGAGTGAAGATCAGTCGTCAGCATTATTATCGAAAAACCTAGAACGTAAGCGGTGTCTGCGCTGGTGAACAAGCCATTATTTGGATTGCACTCGCAGTATCGACTGGCAAACTTCTCCATCAGCCTATCAATCTTCTGCGCCTCTCCAGGGAGTCTGAACCCCTCCAAGAAGTACCTCAACGCCGACACCAAATCCCTATTAACAAAATCCATCTGATCTATGTAATTATACATGACCTGATTGTGATTATGATCCCCAAGAAAATCGCCAATAGCAGTTTTATCCAGTCTCTCATCGACGTGCAGAAATCTAGCGACGTCGTCAGCAGAGGCCCCTAGGAGTCCCTGCTCCTGAAGATACTGAATTCCCTTACTAGGCTTTCTGTTGAATATCTCGATGCCAGCCTCCCACACTTCCTTCTGCTGCTTCTGGACCTCGAACTGCTCAGGTGAGTCCGATACCTCCTTATTTCCTACGAGACTAGAATTCGCTGAGGAAAGACTCCCAGCACTTCCATATCGAGGCAACGACGAGTTGAGGGGTGGATCTGGGGGCTCAGTGGGTATTTGCTGATCTACTGGAGTGCCCGGGTTGATATACAAGTCTCTGCTCCACTCCACCATACACTTGAGAATTGAAACAAGACACTCGAGTCCTCGAATTCTCATGGACTTTTCCTGATTGGGGGACGCCCCCAGCTCCAGTGCCTGACGGCCCTGCGCTATCTTCGATAAATCATTGACAAGTCTCTCAAATAAATTTGCTGCTGACAGGTCGCAGTCGTAATTAACGTAAATATCTACAACACTCTGGGCATCAGCGCAGATCCTCGTCAGGGCGTGAATCACCATCCACTTGTGCTCGAAGGAGCTACTGGAGGTCTCCAGAATGTTCATGAATATCTCCTTAAAAAACACCTCGATCTGCATCTTCAGGTGCACCTTAAATCGAGCCAATAGTGCAAGGAATAACGCCAAGGATAGCTCGAATACTTCAGGAACTGAAGATACCCCATTCTTTGATAAAGCTACACACAGGTATTGCTTAATGGCGATAACAAACATCTCGTTGGATCTCAGGACTGGTCCGGCGTTCTGTAGAATTCCCAGGAGAAGCTGAAGGGACAGTATTTTGGATCTGAGCTCGTGCGATTTCGGGTCAGGAGTGCCATCGGGCAGTGGCTTCATCGACAATTTGCAGAGAGCTCGAAAGACCAAGAAGGCGTCCTTCTGGAGGACGTGGGTAAATTTAGCTGTTACCATATTGTCAGTCTCAGCTGTCGTCTCGTCGGTGTTGTCGTCGGTCTGTACTTGATCAGGATTGGGATCTTCCAGGGGCGAGGGGACTGGTGGGTCCTCAGGTACGACATTGCTAATAACTTCCTCAAGAATGCTACTGACAATCTGGGTAGAGTCGAAAGAACTCTCGTGATCGGGGGCAGAAGTACTTTCATTCAAATCAACTCGAGCCACTGGAGTCTCTGGATGTGGTGTAGACGTATTCTCTCCAATCCTGGCCTCGTCCTCAGCCTGTGTCTCCATCCTCGCGAAAATAACATTAATCATCTGCGTCAAGGTAGCACGTGCTGTCGTCTGGTTAACAAGATTTCTCGATGCCAAATACACATTGTAGACAGTGCGTATCGTTAATAATACAGTCCCTTCGTGTACTTCCACATGTTGACTAGTCATCACGGTTAAAAGTGCTTTTATAATCTGCAGCTGGACCCCCTCGTCCGTCTGCGGACCCATGAAACAGCTGCATATTGTCTCGACTATCCTCACAATCAGCAGTTTGCTGGGCTCTGTCGAGTCTGGAACATTGCCAGTCAGGTGACCATATGCTATCAATTTTTGCAGACAGTCCAGAGCTGTCACCACTATTCGAGGAGATTTGCTCTGACATGCTAGCTCGAACGGCAGGAAGTATTTCTCCGCTGAGATGACGTTTGAATCGTTCTTTGGCTGGGGCAGGGCGTTCGATATCGCTTCCTCACCCTGCACATTTGGCACCTCTTTTATCTCCTTTCGAAGGTCATCTAAACAGCAATTAATTGACTAATTAAGGGCCATCAGGGGCATTTTGTGGAATTTATGAATTTCTGGAGTGTGTGGATATTACTTTGATTATTCTCACGACAGAATATTCGAAAATCTGATCGCAGATTTCATGAGAAATTCTTTATTATTTTAAGATATATAAACAGTAATTTTATAACTCGTCATGAAGTAATTCAATATCATTACTCGTATATTAAAATTAATGGGTAAAATCGAAGAACTCACCTAGTGCTGTTTCACATGATTTTCTCAATTGTGACAAGTGGGAGCGTTTGACGTCCTTATCAGCCAATATTTTTTCCAGTGCTCTTACTATAAACATTTCTCTTGTTTTGGAGTTATTTTGCATCGTCAATAGAGAAACAATTGTTGTTTCATGGGAGATTCAGGGTTTTATCGCTGAAGGGCCAGACGTTGGATTTTATTCGGAGACTTCGGTAGTGATAAGTCGTATTCGAGGTTAAAAATGTGAAAGTACATTGACGTAAGCATCTTCAACAATCAATTAATGTTGTTTTGAGTATTTTTGCAGGAGTATGACGATGATTTGTCACTTGTTACGCGATATTTCATGGTTTGTCAGGGGTTTTCAGGTTCTTCAGAGACTTTTCGTGGTGACCAGTCTCTTGAGGTAATTTGTGTGTCACTTGGGAGTGTACTGTTGGCACGTTGTGTGAACTTGTGGTAGTTACTTGCAGACTTGACGTATCCCTTACACATACGGTAAACTCAAGGTGGTGAACAGGTATGAGACATATGGCGTGTCCGATGGTGGGAGATTTGACATGTTGGGGTTTGTGTTCAGTCTGTCAAACTCCGAGTATCAGCCTGGCCCAATATTACAATTCAAAAGTCCCCACGGGACTTGTTGGGGATCTTGTTGCAACTGGAGACTAATGCTATCTTGTGGGAATATTTCGAGATAGCGATGCAGATTTGTGTCATTTATTTATTATGAAATTATTTCGATTTTATGACTTTCAAGGATGGAACTACATTCACCTAAGCTAGTGGTGATTCATTCTGGGGGTATGAAATTATTATTTCAGTTTGAAACCCATCTTTAAATTGTATTTTATTCAGTCGGTTTTTCAAATTGTTTAAAACATGTATTTTGTACATTAATGTTTAAATCGATCTATTTATTTCAGAATGTATCGCCGATTGAGTTTATATTTTATAATTTTTCACATTCTCTTGTAGATATTCACAGCTGATTGAAGGAGTTAAAGGAAATGCCTATGGCATACAATCAATATTAATAATCTATAATTGATAATTCCACAGGTCAATGAATAATTGAAATCTGTATTAATTCCCTTTCCATCGATTCTGATTTCAATTTTCTATCGAAGTGTTAAATAATTATCATATTTAAAAATGCAATTATCCCAATCGAAACTCAATTCTGGCCGTTTGAAAAATGCAAAATCATTCTTTTTTGCTTATCTACTTCAATATATGTTGATATATCTGAATCATCTTCCTTATCGCACCCTAGATTTCTCGGTAGCATTGCGCATGTATGTCAAATCCATTCGGCCCCGTCAGCTGATTGGTTTTCATAATTAAATCTAAGAAAAATTGTGATTTTTCCTTGGAACAAATTGCTCCAGGGGATTTCGTGGCCATGGAGAATTCCCCATTGATCAGAAAAGATGACGATCCACCTCCATACTCCGTAGCAACTGCACCTCAAGGTATAAACAACATTGATCAATCCTAGGTTATGTGCTGTCAATTGTTACTCATCCTGTTTCATCTGATTGTTTTAATTTCCTGCGATTACTTGTCTAATCAGACTAATCGGTCCTCGCATTCATTTCTTTTTTAGCCAATGTCTCGTGGCAACCACCACCTGGATATTATCCAAGTCCTAGTGTACCTGTGCCGTCCTATGGAACAACAACAACAACAACTGTCATTGTACCGGAGATTATTCTCGTCGGGGCTTGTCCTGCTTGCAGAGTAAATTAACATTTCGATTTTTAATCATACCATTGAATTTCTAAATTTTATTTCCCATCCTATTGCCCCCAGGTCGGAGTCCTCGAGGATGATTACACCTGCCTTGGTCTCTTCTGTGCAATATTCTTCTTTCCTCTGGGTATTTTCTGCTGTTTACTCCTGAAAAATCGACGCTGTTCAAACTGTGGCGCATACTTCGGTTAAATTGCCGTAAATGATCCATAAATAATTATATTAAAGAAAATGGCATTCACCATCAGCTGACAAAAATCAATACGAGTGCTCGTATTGCAAAATTCAGGTACTCGGTACTAAAACTGTCTTCTGTTTATATTATTTTCTTTTTCGTCGAGAAGACAACTAGACTTCAAAAAATATCTGGACGAAAACAATCAGTCAGTCAACACACGGTAGTTATATTTGTTATCCTTTTAGATAAATCTTTTACCTCGAGTTATTTGTTACATTGGTTTACAAAGTTTATAACATTATATGGGAGTAATCATAAGGAAGTTGGAGAATATCAGGTGATTATCATGGCTGCAGGGAAACAATTAAATTCCACAATAACGTACGTCTAATCAAATGGCATTATCTTGGAACATTTCAAGGTGATGACTCATTCATGTAGAAATACTCCATATGATTAAAATCGAAGCAGTCTTGCTGTCGGCGCAGTAACATGCTTCAATGATTAATTTGATTAGCGTGGGAATGACAAAGTGCAGCTACTGGTTTCCTTTTTTCAGCGAGGAGTTGAATGAACGAATGCTTTAGAAAATTTATACATCATTGGTAGACTGAGAACAATTATTGAATATGTACGAGGAGTGCGTAATGAATGTGATAATTTGCATAATCGAAATGAGATAAATATGAGCATAATATATCATTATGTATATGAATATATATTTTATGGTCCAGTTAATAATAATTTTTAAAAACTAATCCTATGAGTTTTTGATTTGTATAGACAATCTCTCTTTTTTTCTAAATCAAAAATGTGTTGTCATGACCTGGGGAAAAATTTTAAATCCTGTGAGATTTTAATTGAAAATAATTGAGCCTCATTCACCCTTATTTGATGTTTGAAAATTGCCTCCATTGTTCCTCAATCCTCGGGGTAACAACAAAATCAAGCGAATAATTCAGGTAATTGATGAACTAACGAGTTATGGAAAATTGTTGAATTATGTCGAGTTATTACCGAGGAAATGAGGTGTGTCCTTTGATATTACAAAGTCAAACAACTTTTCATAAATGAAAATTTAATGGATCATTGAAGCTGAACACGTGATAATGACAAATGTAGAATTGTGTCCAGCGGGGGGATATTTGAAATTATCTATAACTCTGTCAATAATTGAATACTTTCGAACACCTTGGAGCATTGAAATAGTGTTAAGGAGAGCAATGAGAGATCACTTTTTCACATAATTAAATTAACGAATCGTTATGTGTGATTGGAAGGCTTTCAGAAGGTCATCGGTGGCCGTCGAATTTCTGATGAAATCATCGGACCGTGAGAGCGCAAGTGAAGTTTCCTCAATTACATACCTCTCGTTCAATTTTTCTCGCCTTAATTTTTTCCTTACTTGTAATAACTCAGCAATTGTCGTCAAGTTTTATTATTTCCTGGAATGAACTTGATGCCACTAAGTTGCACTGGGATAGTATTTTCCGGTTGAGACTGGCCTCGTGGAATCAATTCAGTACAATTATTTTTTTCATACCTGGAGGATATTTCGATAGCTCTGAAATTCATGGAAGTAGTGCCGGAAATTTCCGGCAATATTCGTCAGTAAATATGATCGTCATTGATAAATCAATCTAAATCTAATTCCTAAACTTCATTCTGATCAATACCACGTCATCTGATGAAAGGGACTGAATTATGAAAAAATTTAGTGATAATGAAAGTCTCATATTAAACTGGCCTCCAAATTAATCAGAGCCTCGAGTGTTCTTCAAAAATGATAGTGAATTCTAAGAAATATGGTGCACAGAGAAGAGATGTTGTACACCATATTTCCCTGAGAGCCCTGAGAATTTGATTCATTCCTTATTTCCACTTCATTGGAGAATTCATCCATAACTTCATGAAAATTTAAATAAATATAAAAAAATAAATACATGAAGGAATGACAAAGGTATCAACAAGATGGAAGAGGAAAGTCCAGTGACGTATTTAATTTTCACCAAAGCCCTGGAGTTTCCGGAGACGGATGAATAGTGATTGAAACGTTAGAACTAGTCGTCGAATGTTGTGTCGCGAATAGGAGAATATTGGCGGGGGTTTTACGTCCTTGATGAGATACCTTTTAGCGTATAAATGACGCAGCGGTTGACGATTACATCCAGAGTGTAAAAACCCACCGTCGAGATGCCAACGAACGAAGAGACGTATTGTGATGCCCTAGGGCCATCCCATTGTGTCGAGGGTATTAACGACGTGTCCAGTGATTACGAGGAGAAATCGACATGTGGTGATCAGAGAGGCATCATGAAGTGTCACCTCAATGGATTTAACCAAGATGAGCTGTTTGATCAGTTCGAAAGCACACCAACAAGATCGAAACACGAGAAATTTCTCAGGGATTTCTTCGAAATTGTTCTCCAGGATGCCGTTTTCGATGTGAGTAAACGAAATCCCCAGTGAAGTGAGGAAGAATTCCCTGTTCCAGTTAATATTGATATAAAATTTATCCACCCTCCATTTTAAGGTAGCAATTCCATAAGAAAACGTGAATCGAAATGAAATTGAAATTTATTCAAGTCTTTGTATCATCGTAGACCAGCATTCCAACTTGCGTAAACCATGAACACTTTAAAAACCTTGTTACCGCCAGTCACTTGCATAATTGTCGATTTCGAAATTCTTCGTAAATTGCACCCTTGAGCGAGCACTATGATTAACTATTTCCATTTTATGGTAACCAGGGCACTTCGCGCAAGACCAAGGTCGTTAACTGGGTGGATCCAGAGCGACTCCCATCGACGATAAATCTCCACCTGGACAGAACAGGTATCACCCACGAGGAGCTATTGAATCTGGCACGAGGTGTCATCAAGTACAGCGTCAAAACTGGAAATCCAAAATTTGTCAATCAGTTATTTTCGAGTGTAGATCCATATGGTCTGGCTGGTCAGTGGCTGACAGACGCCTTGAACCCATCAGTCTACACCTACGAGGTATCCCCAGTGTTCTCCGTGATGGAGAGCGAGGTTCTCCGGGAAATGCGAAAGATCGTCGGTTGGATGGATGGAAAGGGCGACGGAATCTTCTGCCCAGGGGGTTCCATGGCCAACGGTTACGCTATAAATCTAGCTCGACACCACAAATTCCCTGGGTTAAAGGAAACTGGACTCTCGGGAGCGCAACAATTGGTTGTCTTCACCTCTGAAGACGCTCACTACTCCATTAAAAAGCTCGCAGCTTTCCTGGGGATCGGAACAAAGAACGTCTACGAGGTGAAGGTTGACAGCAGGGGGAAGATGTGCCCTGAGGATCTCGAGGAGAAGGTGAAATCGTGTCTGGAGAATGGAGCTGTGCCCCTGATGGTATCAGCAACGTCAGGAACTACTGTACTGGGGAGTTACGATCCTCTGAAACAGATTCACAATGTTTGCAAGAAGTACAACATGTGGATGCACGTGGATGCTGCCTGGGGAGGGGGTGCCCTAATGTCCTCCAAGTACAGAAGACTTCTGGATGGTGTCGAATTGGCTGATTCTGTCACGTGGAATCCTCACAAGCTACTAGCAGCACCTCAGCAATGCTCCACGTTGCTGACTAAACACGAGAATCTTCTCCAATCTGCTCACAGCTCCTGTGCAACTTATCTCTTTCAGAAAGACAAGTTCTACGACACGTCCTTCGACTCTGGGGACAAGCACATCCAGTGTGGGAGAAGGGCTGATGTCCTCAAGTTTTGGTTCATGTGGAAGGCAAAGGGAACTGCTGGATTTGAGGCACATGTTGACAAGGTTTTCTACTTGTCGAGATATTTCGTTGGGCTGATCCGTGGCAGGGTAGGGTGGAGGCTTCTTCAAGAACCTGAATGCACCAATGTCTGCTTCTGGTATGTCCCCAAATCGAAGAGAGGACTAAAGGGCGAAGAGTTGGAACGAGAGCTGCACAGGATTGCACCGATTATCAAGGAGCGAATGGTGAAGAAGGGATCGATGCTGGTGACTTATCAACCACTTCATGGATTACCGAATTTCTTTAGACTTGTGCTGCAGAGCTCTGGACTCACTGAGGGCGATATGAGGTATTTCGTCGAAGAGTTTGAGACTCTGTCCGAAAATCTCTAATCAATTAATAATCATTGTACAGTTGTAGATAGGGAAAAATATCGTAACATAATTCTCTAAGCATTTTGTAAGTTAGTGCTAATAAATGAGGTATTGAAGGTACAGAATTCTCATCATAAACTCATTAACTGGAAATATTTATTCATTTCCGAATGGTTTTCTGTTGAGCAATTTCTGACTCACGTTAGATTTCCATTATGGAAATCAGATTACTCCACAAGATAATTACATATCATAACCGTGGCTAATGACTTCGATGGACTTCAGCAATTATAACTCAGTATTTATGAATTCAATAACGAAGTGGTAAAGTGAGATAATGAAGTGGTAGAATTTTTTTCTTATCAGGGAGTAAGACGAAGGCCAACATGAATTATTAAAATAATACAGATTCCAAAGGGTTATACCACTCCATAGTATGAGCTCCACAATACGGACAATCTAGACGATTCTAATTGAAAAAGTTAATTAAACAAAACGTTTGGGGGTAATAAAGAAGTTTATAACACGTGATTCATCGAAATTGATTAACGTCTCTTTATTCAATCCATTAATTAATATTAAAATTATTGTTATTGTTCTCTTTTTTCACAATTGAATTCCATCGAACGATAATACAAGCTATGTACAAATAAACGGGATTCAAAATCTCCAACATTTACAAGCGTAGAATACCTACAAAACCATAAGCTAAATGAATTCTAATATAATAAACAAATAAATGGCAGATGATATCAACGGTGAAGCGATAAATTTCAGGGAAACGCCTGTCTCAAACTTCCATCACTTACTGAAGAATTTCCAATTTACCAAGAAATTCTCCAGAGAAAAAAATCTCAGAGGCCCTAACTGTACTCTTTCAAGAACTTTATATGAAAATCTTTAATACTACTGAGCATGGTCTTAATCTTATCAACCTGTGGTAAGATGGTGGTCCTGAAGTGATAAGTTCCAGGTTTTTGTCCAAAGCCAGAGCCAGGGATAACACAAATTCCAGTAGTCTCGAGTAATTTGAACGCATAGAAAGCATCAGGTGCCTTTCCCTCGGCCTTGGCAGCCTCGATGACTTTCTTAGGTAGATCAATCCTTGGAAATACGTACATAGCCCCCATGGAGGGATTACAGTGATACCCAGGGATTGTGTTGAGGGTGTCGACGACAAGTCTCGACCTCTCAGCCAGGGACTTGAGAACAGCTGTCTTCTGCTCAATGAATTCCTTGTACGAGGGCTCATTCGGCCTCGGAGGATGAACCACAACGTCCATCACCACCTGACCAAGAACAGTTGGACAGAGCATAGCAGAGATGGCTTTCGAGAGAACAGCCATCACCTGGGGATCCATATTGACGTATTCGGCGTACCCACCACGAATTCCACACTCCCCCATGTAGCCTTTGGATATCGACATGAAAGACGCCAGTTCCAGTTTAGAGTAAGGATCTCCCATCTCCATTATGACCTTCTTAAAAGCATGGAAGGAACTGTCTTTATCGTAGACATTGTCCTGGTATACCTCATCAGCCAGAATGAACAGGTGGTTCTTGTGGGCGAATTTAACGATTTCCTCGATGTTGGCACGAGTCAGAACTTGACCTGTTGGATTCCCTGGATTGATCACCACGATAACACGAGGATTGCAGGTTTTCTTCGCCTCGTTGTACGCCCTCTCCAGTTCGCTTATGTCTAAGGCCCATTTGTTGGGCTCGTTCAGGTAGTAACCAATCTGAGATAAACCGAATTCAGCGAGAGCTGCGGAGTACAGGGGATACTGGGGGATGGGAATCATCACCCCTGAGGGTTTTCCATTCACCTCTTCGTTGAAGAGCTTTAAGAACGTCTTAATTCCGTCTGATGCGCCATTCGATAAAACGATATTCTTGTAATCAGCTGGTATACCATCACGTTCCTGAATGTATCGGGCCACGTGTCTTCTGATTACCTCGATTCCAGCGGATTCTGAGTAAGACCCAACACTTCCACCCTTGCAACCCTCGAGGAGCTCTCGTGCACGTTGTTTTGCATCTTCTGGGTAGTTGGGATCATCCAGAAGCTCTGGGGAGACGGTCAAAGTGAGTACTTGGCGCAGGAATTTTATGGGTCTCTGACCCATTGCGTGGGCATCTCCGATGTTCGCTTTGATGACTTCCTTGAATGGCTTCTTTGCACCCTGGAATTATTTTTCATCATTGTGGTTTTTATTTATTTAAAAAACTTCGTTCTGGTCCTATTTTTTCCAATTTTATCTACATTTGCCATTTTTATTGACCATTTTATTCTCTCCATTGACATTTTTTTGGATCGTTAATAATCACTTGCGCTGTGGCACTCAATTGTGTGTATGAATATGTCTGGGAATCAATTTCAATGCCATTTGCATTGTGACAATATATCCGCAGGGGTGAGACCATTCGCATCACAACAGGATGCGATTCACAGCGACAATTAAAGAAAAAAATAAATGAACATACTAATACATACAAATATGATTACTGAATGATTCTCATTAAATTCGTCGAGAAAAAAGTAAAGTATCTAGTAGGATTTGAACTCGCGTGATTCTGAAACGAAACAAAGAACGAGAGTTGAAGTAATAAAATTGTTCACGACTTGGATTTGAACCAAGAACTCCTGGTGATTGCCTCGCCGATAAGGTGATTACACAGTTACCCGTTACCCCTTCTAGTAACACTCATTTAAATCAAAGGTAGTTACCTTACGCATAAATTCAACCAGACGCGTTAGCCAATTTCGCCACCGTGACACTTGTGTTTCCGTTTAAAAGAAAATCACAACACAAGAGTGGCTCTCGATTCCATCGGAGAATCGAAAGAATGAAAACAAAAGCGAAAAATTTTACATGATTCCTGATTCTTTCAATAAATAAGCAAATAGGCACTGGGCATCTGTAATTTTAACATCAACATCATGTGACAAGAGGAAGCATTCAATTGCCCAGAAAACAATGAGGGTAAACTTAAACAAACTTGGACTATCCCGACAGTACAGTTATCGGATAATCCACGATAGCATTATCTCGACCATAAGCCAATGTAAAGGCCTGTCAAAATAAAAAAGATAAAATAAATTGGCAATTTGAACTTTGGATCATCAATTCTGAACGTAAAAATAGTCGACACTTGTTTATGGGCCTTGAAAAATGAATGCTTAATGGGATGAACGAATAACTCTTGGAATTAGAAAAAATTGAAACAGACGTCCTATTTTCCTAATAGAAACGTTAAATAATCGCAGATAACAAAGTTTAATTTTGATAAAGAATGATTACTCAATAGAACTTTGGAATTGAATTTTACGTCAACAGTTGAATCAGTGAAAGTAAAAGTTTAATTTCTGGAATGCAGTCGATGAAATTTAAAATTTATTTCCAGAGTGGAATGGCCTTGACCAACTGGATCGCCAAGTTCGAAGTAACAAGAGAATAAAAAATTAACAGATGCAATATATGGAAAATCCGATAAGTCCGACAAAAACGAATGAATCGAAAATTCTCTCAAGACCTTTCAAATTTCACAATCGCCAGAATCATAAAAAATATTAATCCTCTATTTCCCAATAACTTATCTCTCCAACCGATAAGATTAAATATCGCTCAAAAATAAATTTAGGTCGATATGCAATTGCCTGAATATTGCCTCTGACGTCTGAAGCCGCGGTAAATTAATTTCCATCTCAATTCCGTAATGCATTCATGAACTAGTCTTTAACTTAGACCCAATCATCTACAAATATCTCCTAAATGGTCAGAGATAACGAAATTTCGATAGAAATCTTTTTTGTACCTCATGTATCGCTCTCCAAAAAAGATGCTTATAGGTATTATTCTATTTCTCTTCCTTTTCGAGATATCTACCGCTAACTGATTCTAATTGAATTTTAATGAACTAAAGAGCCTCGAGCGTCGTATATTGCAACTACCACCCCTTCAAAGCCCTCTTTTTATCGACTAATCACCACACCAATTATCTCATTTTTTCCAGATAAAAAATGTCGAAGTTTCGAATTTCCCTTAGACTTCCGCAGTAAAACGATTGTCAAATATTTGAGGACTGAACTCGTAATTTAATACGCATCACCAACAATTCCAATTATATATATCTTTTTTTTGATTTTTAATGATCCATAATGTCAAAAAAGAGGAAGTGCATAAGAACTTCAATAATTATTTGGTTATAGAGTAAATTTTTGACAGATTATTCAAATAGAATTTTATTCTATTCATTGCATCATGAATTCTGAAAACCGTGGAGGAGTGGAGATCGTTTGCACGGAGCAATAAATAATGAAAAAAAAAACCGAAAGGAAAGGATCGGGTGAGTTGTTTGGTATTTTATAATAAAATGATATTTGCAGGGATAAATTACCTTCTCGAGCTCCTTCTCAATCTCAAGTGCTCTGAGAAGTAATGGTCCTCTGACAGCGTACTCCATACGCCGTAAATTGGAGTAAACATTGTCAAGAGTGAGAGTTTTTCCAGCTGATCCAGACATGGTGCGACGATTGACTGTTATGCCGGTCACTGGTTGTACTAGTCTTGTCATTCCGATGTTTCGACCTGATGCCGTACCAGCAATACCCCGGACCCCACTCTTCCATTTGCCCATTGACTGTCCTCCAGTGACAGCTCGCTTCAAATTTCGCGTGTGCGACATGACTCTATTTATCAGTAATCAGAGAGAGAGACTGTTGTAAAAATAATGAGTGACAACTAGTCACACGTAATGAGAAAATTCGTGATCCAGAGATTTTGGAGGTCGAGGTACGGCGTGCGGTGAGTCCACAATACTTCAATTATTTTATTATTATTTACTAATTATTGTTTACTAGTGCACATCGCGATTTTTGGGGAGACACTACTCGTGCAAACCATCAACTGCCAGTGTCTCGGATTTATCAATTTCTGATTGCGAAATAACAGGCCTGAGTTAAGACACTGAAAATATAAACTAGGTGGCGCAAGTGACGGGCAATATTTGTTTTTGTTTTTTGTTCAAGGTGAAATTTCGAATTGCTCCTGTGGAATTTACGATAATTATTAACATTTCAAGCATTGTTACAATTATTGATATTATCCTCACGTTTAATGAAGGATAATTTCAAAAATATGTTATGGAGAAATGAATAATAATTTATTTTATCGTCGAGAAAAATTTCGATTGTTAAACAAATAGAAGCGAATTTACATAAAGAAAAGGACTAGTCTCCAGATATTTTCACAAGTGACAGAAAGTCGAGTAATAAATTGTCATGTTCATTTTTAGAAAATCATTCCTGGGTCTCATTAGAATGGTAACGATAATCATGACGCCGTGCAGCTATTATTATGATTGGCTTATATAAGCTTCTTAAATTTTGGAAAACATTTTATATTAATATTCAACAGCTGTGAATGTCTGGATGAGTGATAACAGGTCTTTAACCCTTTCCACAAAGAAATCTTAAAATTACTAAAACCATGAAGAAATATCTTAATCCAGTGTCTCCTATTTCCAAATCATCAGCATAACGTGACTAGATAATTTGATCAGTATTTCGTTATGTAATAACAGTGGAAAATTATGAAAAACCGGTGAAAATATGAGTTGTTCAGCTGAAAGAGATGATCTTACGTGAACCGCGGGTGAGTGATCGTTGATGACAGTCGAAGGTCAATGACTTTATGCACTATTCATTATTCTAATGACACTTCTGATAAATAGATGACCACTATGTCAAATTGAATCATGAAGACATAAGGATAGAGTCTCGTTTTATCGACTGCCGGAAATGCGCGGCTTTGATTTATCCTGAAGATGGCAGTAGACATTCTAAAAACGAAATGGGATTCCCTTGTTTTCTTAACTTGATTGATTCAATTATTTGATCCTTATCGCATCCTGAGTGGACTCACGTCCTCCTTTCCTATTCGTTCTTTCATTTTAAATAAATTCTGGATTCAGCTTTTTTTTTTAAATAAATCCCTGGAAATCTATATTAGAAAATATTGTGAACGTTCGAATTTCCAGAGTTGAATGCCAAAATTACTGTCATATTTTCCCGGATAGTCCGAATAATTTGAAATTGAACGTAGAATTAAATGAAATTATTAATAATCTATGGATGGTCTGGCGAGATTCACGCCTCGCAGAAAAATTTTGATTGCTGAAGTTATGAATAGCTTCAGGAATTGAGGATTGATTAATTAAACCAATTAAAAGACAAATCCTCGTGCTATATTTACCGAAGATACTGCCGTTGGTCTGTAAATTTCCCTGATGGCAGCAATATTCGAAATTCTCGGAATAGGGATCACGCAATGTAAATTTGAGATAACGTACAATGTTCCCTCGAGTACATATTCAAAAGCGGAGAGGATGTTCCTGTTCTGGGAAAGACTTGTCGAGTCTCAGGGAGATAGAGGTGTGCCGGGTCTTCCCGTGTAAATCTTGTAATTCTCTTACAGACGACAAAGGATTTTTCATGTGCAAAAGAAACCGAGGCCGCACGTTTATTTCTTCTCAGGCTGGTGTATGTACTGCGGTTAGGCTCATGATTCGGAGAATGCACGAGTAAATTTTACCTTCGGTCCAAAAGTTAAATCGCCTGGGAGATTACACTTGGATGAGTTATGGGGTGCCCTTGGACTTTACGTGTATGAAATATTGCACACCTGTGGTTATTTACTAATTCTCATTAGAAGAGGTTCCAGCAAAATTACCACTCACATCAGCTTCAGGCAAAATTTTTCCAATGATCTTTAAAGCATTTTATTTTCATTCTTATCTCTGCGAATTTTTTACTAAATTATTCACGAATTTTTAAAATAATATCTACAATAATTTTATTAATAATAACAATAATATATGTATAATGAAATAATTTGACAAATATTTTCATTTTTATCTTTGCGAATTTTTTACTAAATTATTCACGAATTCTGAAAATAATATCTACAATAAGTTTATTAATAATAACAATAATATATGTATAATGAAATAATTTGACAAATATTTTCATTTTTATCTTTGCGAATTTTTTACTAAATTATTCACGAATTCTGAAAATAATATCTACAATAATTTTATTAATAATAACAATAATATATGTATAATGAAATAATTTGACAAATATTTTCATTTTTATCTTTGCGAATTTTTTACTAAATTATTCACGAATTCTGAAAATAATATCTACAATAAGTTTATTAATAATAACAATAATATATGTATAATGAAATAATTTGACAAATATTTTCATTTTTATCTTTGCGAATTTTTTACTAAATTATTCACGAATTCTGAAAATAATATCTACAATAATTTTATTAATAATAACAATAATATATGTATAATGAAATAATTTGATAAACATTTTTTATCAAAAATAGACGCAAAACGAAAATGTAGGTAATTGAATAATAATGAAAGCATAAAACGGTGAATTTTTTCACGTCCGACCGATCCACGATTACCCAGAAATTTACAAAAAAAAAAAAAGTGATGAATGATAAGATATCGGGAACTCCTGACACGACTTCCGGGTTTCTATATCTACATATGGCAATCTTCATCTCCAAAGACTAACAATTCGTCGAGGTCACGACATGGGCAGGGAATCTGCCGATCTCGCTCCCGTTCTTCTGGTGATCCAAAATTTTAATTCCCGAAGAGTTCATGGACCGCTCACGAAGGACTTACAGAGAATCGTGATGTTCCGCAAGTGGCGGACCCTTGCAAGAATACTCCACGATCGGTACCATCTTGCTCCTTTTTGTTTGCTCACTGTACCGAGAATCACGTGATAATCCATCTCTTTGTCGGCCACCGCTCAAATTTCTCACGTGACCCAGAGGCCTGCGATAAAAACAAATTTCGGGTTATTTCAATGAGACATTATCTAATTATTTGGAACTCCACGAGGAAAAAGTTATCGTGAGATGAGGACAGTCGTTAATAAATTCTCCAGAATCCAATGGACGAAGGAAAATTGAAAGAAATCCTACAAACATAATTTATTTATCTCTTATCAATTTTTTTTTCTTAACATAATTAATTATCTCCGTTGACATTTTTCAATTGAATGTCCAGATAGATGACAGGGGGGAAGATCGAATATGCAATATTATATATTTATTTATTGTACAGTAGTTTTTACATTTGGTCCATTCCCTTTTCCACGTAAATTAAATAACAATTACGATGCATTGCTTGAGCACCAGGAGGCTTACAATTTTGATAAAATTACTTGTTCATTCGCTACTTAAATCCCTGGTAAGTAGTTTTAATAATACGCAACTATATTGCAATGGAATTTCTTTAATTGGAATTAGACGAAAAAATCGTCATCATGACGTAAAGGCCAAACGTCCCACGAGGGATTCAAATTATTTCGTCGACATTTACGTCAGCCCCTCGTGCTTTAATTCCATTTGGTTGTAGAAGATTTTCTCAGAAATAGATATTTAAAAGCAATATATATAGAATCGATGGTACGATCTTTGTCTCCAGTTAAATATTTGGTGTCTGACACGCGCCCTGACTATCTCAGGATTCAGATAAAAATAAATAGTTGAATCGTCACGAGTGTCTATTCGGCAATGACACCTCAAACCAATTTAGTAGACTGAACTTCAAACTCTATTCCGAGAAATATTGATTGTCCACAATTATCGCAGCGTTCTATTTCTATCAATTTTCATTCCAATGAAAACACGATATGTACATAAGTGTTATGTTTTTCCTGAGGAAAGTGATGTAAAAATAACTGTATGAATTCTTGGAATTTTTATACCGATCGAGAGATTCTGAAACAACTTCATGCATGAGAATTCATCAACGTCAAGGTCTCCCCTTTTTTCTTTTCGAAATACTTTTTCTACCTTTTTTTTATTCCCTCGTTCATTCCAACGTACGAGCACACGAAGGACGTTCCAGTGAACTCGTTAACCCACATCACACATCTCTCATTGATCCCACGATACATGCCTCAGTACATAAATAAACTAATGTTTAAGTGGAAAATGCGGGGAATGTAATTTGTAGTTTTGGGGAATCTGTGAATGGGGCAATTGATCAATGCACCTGTCGGTTTCTCAGTAGAAAATTAAATAACTCTTTGAGAAAAAAAAAATGGAGTATGCCCCAGGGTTGAGTACTATGATTGACGTTTCCTTGGAATGTCATTGCATTCTCATACGTCAAACAAAATTCGAAGAATGTTGGGGTAATGTGTAGACCGATAAACAATAATGGGCTCTCGGAAAAAAGTGCTATCAGTTTGAATTACATTTGTTTCGTGCCACTACTTGAAGCACTTGGGTCAAGTCCAAACAGATTATCTAATCAATTCTGGAAATAGCGAAAACAAATTATGCACTGTGATTACTTTTCCCCACCAGCTGTAACCGAAATTAATGAGTTTTTAGGTTTTTGACAAATTGGGGATTAAGTTGATGGGAAAAAAAATTTTTGCATTCTTTCACCACTTGGTGATCGGTACAATCACCCGAAATGTCATAATCGTGCGATAATTTCCTGCGTCTTCTCTAGATTCTTCAAAAATTCATAAAATCCCTTTTAAAAAAAAGCATGTAACGTTTTTTGTCAGCTTTTTTGGGCGCTATGCATATCAAAATATATCTATATAATATGATATATATATATATATATAGATATAATATATATATATAAATAATATATATAATATATATATAAATTTTTTTATATAATAATATTTAATATTTTTATTTTTATATTATTTTTTATATAAATTTTTACTTTTTTCTTTCTTCTTTTTGAAATTCTATATATGTATATATTATATTGGAAATAACCGTGAATATATATATATATTCCAATGATAACGCGCCATAGCGCGCCATATACGCTAGTATTATAAAAAACACGGGAAAATTATCGCAATTATCATGGAACTTCGGTCATGAAAAAATCATGAAAAAA